TCTGCGTTACGGCTCGTACCGCAAGGATAAGGACCTGCAGGCCCTCCACGGCAGTGTGGCCTTCTTTGGCATCTGGGACGACCACGAGGTTGCCGACAACTCGTACAACCACGGCACCGCCGACGGTAACAACACCGACACCGGTGCCGTCCGCGGCGTGCGCTTCACCGAGCGCAAGCTCGCTGCTGTCAAGGCGTACTACGAGTGGATGCCCATCCGCCAGGTTGACACGACCGACTCGCTGCGCATCTGGCGCAGCTTCCGCTACGGCAAGCTCGCCGACCTCTTCCTGCTGGACACGCGCAACTTTGACCGCGACCTGACCGATGTCTACTGGAACACGGACGCGGTGGCTGCGATCAGCAACGACACCGACCGCTCGCTCATGGGCGGCAAGCAGGAGCAGTGGCTCTACTCGGGCCTCGTCAACTCGGAGAGCCGCGGTGCCACCTGGAAGATCGTGGCGCAGCAGATCATCGTCAACTGGCAGAACTACGGCACGCCGTCGTTCATGTACAACTATGACGCCTGGCAGGGCTACCGTGCCAACCGTCGTCGCTTCTTCGACACCATCGTCAACAACAACGTCGATAACACCGTCATCCTTGCGGGCGACTCGCATGCCAACTGGGTCTACGACACCGTGCCCGAGGACCGTCTCAACACCACCGCCTACGACCCCACCACGGGCGAAGGCTCGATCGCCGTCGAGTTTGCCGGCACCGCTGTCTCGTCGCCTTCGTCGTACGGTGCCAACCTGACGCAGGAAAAGTACCTCAAGCGCGCGCAGGACCTCGTCACCGTCAACCGCAACCTGCAGTGGGCCGAGGGTGGCACGCGCGGCTACTTTGAGATCGAATTCAGCAAGGACGAATGCAACGCCCAGTTCTACGGCTACATCAACAACACCAACCCCAACGCTCCCGAACAGCTCATCGCGCAGTTCAACGTCAAGAAGGGCGCCAACCAGCTCACGCGCCCCATCAACTACGGCATCACGCCTAGCTCCGGCGCGCTCCAGTCGCAAGCCGTCGACTACAGCAAGCAAAAGTGGAACGGCACCGCTTTCGTCGCCCAGAACTAGACGCACACCTGCCGCAGATGTACCTAGATTAGACATATACAGAACAAGCAGGAGATTCAAGATTCGAGATTGCGTGTGCTATCGATCAGATGTGAACCTGTCCGTCAATGCAAACGGTACACGAGCCACCGATCCAGATCTCGGACTTTTCGCTGGAAGTTGTGCGGTTGATCTTGACGCTGATTCTGCCTTTGCGACCGATGGCAGTGCCTTGCGAGTTGACGTATTCCGTTGCAGGGCTGTTTCCTGTCGCTTCGAGCCACTTGGCAAAGCCCGCATTGAGCGAACCCGTCACGGGGTCTTCGCCAATGTCTGCAAACACAAAAGCTCGCACCTCGTTCGCCAACCTCTCCCCGTCCGCATTGACTCCATCAGGGTAAGGGCCGATGAAGCCAAAGAAGAGGTCGCGGACCGAGGCCACATCGCAACCCGGATTCGTTGGGTTGATGTCGAGCACATGCTGCGCTGAGGGAAGCTTGATACCAATCCAGTGCGGGCCATTGTCAATGTGATGTGCTTCGAGAACATCCGCTGGGTCGAGGCACAGTGCACGGGTGATGCGCTCCACCGTTGCTGCGTCGACCGGCTCGTATCGCACAAACTCTGGCGCGAGGAAGCGCACCTCGCTCGCATCGGGAGAAACCTGCAGCGGTACCAGCCCAATGGCGCACTCCTGTACGAGCTTGCCTCCTCGAGATTCCAGCAGTGACGAGCAGCGCTCGTCGCCTAGGTGGCGCAGGAAAGAGTAGCAGCTGCCCAGCGTCGGGTGGCCAGCAAACGGAAGCTCCTCGACGGGCGTGAAGATCTTGAGCCGGTAGTTCGCCTCTGCGCTCTGGGAAGGAGGCAGCAGGAACGTGGTCTCGGAGAGGTTCGTCCATCGCGCGAAACGCTGCATCTGTTCCTGCGACGGCAGGGGGAGAGAAGTGTCGAGACAGTTGACTACGGCGACTGGGTTGCCGAAATAGGCCTTGTCGGTGAACACGTCCACCTGGTGGAACGGGTACGCGGTGGGCTTCGACGACATGGCTGCAGTTGATTGATAGAGCCAGTCAAATGCTGTAGGGTGTGGCAACAATGATGGTAGAGGTCGAGTGTGCTGGTGAGGGCCGGCTCGAAGTAGTTCAGAAGGTCGTCTGGGCTCGAGTCACAGGAGCCCGTGCGAAAGCGAGTTGCCGTGAACAGGGTCCAGTTGGTCGCTTCGGCTATAACGCTTTTACCCTCAGCATAGCCGCGCACGCCTAGAATCACTTGCTCACAAGAGGACAGGGTCAAAAGAAAGCCTCGCTCCCTGTAGCTCGGGACGGAAGCCTCCTTCGTGCGAGAGTACTGATAGCCCAAGCTCGACCTTCAATGAGACTGTCGGTCTTGATTATCCTTCAACGGCAACCCAACTGAAATCTACGGCGAGCCGGTCCAGGAAGCCTTGAAGCGACCTTTGGATCGTGTTAGGCCGAAGGACGGACGTGAAAGGTACATTCCAACCTGAGCCACCTTTGCTGTTCATGCTGCTCCTAGCCACCTGTTTAGCGCTGCCATTGTCTCTGCTTGACGTCTTGCGGTTGGTCATTTGTGCCTGCGACTCGCGGCAATTTCTTTGGACGATGGGAGCCGCATCGTTCTTATTGGGCGGTTACCCAGAGCGACTCGGCGGAGACGCGTGAAAAGCGGCTTGACAGCAACGACAGGAAGAGAAAGAGGTCAGCGACGCTTAGAACCGTCGACGGTAACCAGAGCCGCAAAGGGTCTGTTGGCCGGTGGAACCCATTTGGAGCTAAAGCTGCTGCAAGAAAGCGTCCCGGGAACCGGTTCAGCTGCGGCCGTGCATCCGAGCATTTCTTCGAAGCGCCCGCACGGCCCTCGCCATACAACGCTGTCGTCGAAGGTGGTACAAAGGACAAACCCCCCTCACTTCCTTCTTCTCTACAACATCATCCACGTCTCTAGTTCGTGTCACCGATAATGACCTCCGCCATCCCGCCCATCACTACGCCCAAGCCATTCGAGATCGTCTATACCGACGATGAGGTCGCCGACCTGCGCAGCCGGCTGCGTAACGCGCGCCTCCCCACGGCTCCCTACCTTCCCGAGGATGACCGCCAGCCGATGAAGCTGACCTACAAGCCGGATCTTCCGCTCGTCAAGCAGCTCGTGGACAAGTGGGCCGACTTCGACTTTGCCAAGTTCCAGAAGCACCTCAACAGCTTCCCGCACTTCACCACCTCGGTCGACTGGTGCACTCAGCTCCACTTTGTGCACAAGCGCTCGTCGCGAACGGACGCCATCCCCATCATGCTCATCCACGGCTGGCCCGGAAGCTGGTTCGAGTTCGCGCATGTGATTGACGAGCTCGTCAACCCGGAGGACAAGGATGCGCCTGCTTTCCACGTCGTCGTTCCCTCGCTCCCGGGTTTCATGTACTCCACCGCACCCCCAAACAAGAAGCTCGGAGAGGTGCGCAGCTACACGCGCATCCTGAATGCTCTTATGCGCGGACTGGGCTACGACAAGTATGCGTCGCAGGGTGGTGATTGGGGCAGCCCGCACGCTCGTGCTCTGGGTGTCTTCCACTCCCACAAGGACGGCACTGGCTGCCGAGCAGTGCACCTCAACTTCTGCCCCGTCGCCGCCAAGGGTCTGAGCAAGTTCATGCTCAACTCACTCCCGGCCAAAGTGACGCTCGGCGTTGCCAAGCTGATCTACGGCCAGGAGTATCTCGTTATGGCAGCCAAGGGCATGTACTTTGAGCAGAACCGCGCGTATTACGATGTGCAGCGCACGCGTCCCGCACAGCTGCTGTACGGTCTCGTCGACTCGCCCGTCGGCCTGCTTGGCTGGCTCGGCAACATCTATGACACGCTGAGCGAGCGAGCGCCCGACCACCCGCGCCTCAACATGGACGCATGCCTCGAGATCGCCACGCTCTTCTGGTTCACCTCGTCCATCGGAACATCGTTCATCCCCTACACGGTCAACGTCTTCTTGCCCGAGATCCACGGAAGCGCAGAGTACAAGCTTCCTGTACCGCTTGCCTACTCGGATTTCCCACAGGAGCTCGTCAACACTCCCAAATTTGTCGTGGACGCCACGACGACGTCGGGCAAGACGCGATGGATCGCCAAGTCGCCCGTCGGAGGCCACTTTGCCGCGCACGAGGAACCGACGATCTTTGTGAGCCATCTGCGAAACGCCTTTTCGCGCGGCGGCAAGTGGAAAGGCCACGAGGAGGACGGAATCCAGTCAGCCCAGATCGCAGGCGGCTTGTGGGACGAGGTGCGAGACCAGGAAGCGCGCGCGTCCAAGATCTAGAACTCCAGAATCACATTACTAGCTCGCACATCTTCTTACTGCCTGGATGGAACGGAATACATTGAACTAAATGACAGTATGGACATGAGGTCAGTCAAGGATGCCGTGTTTTCGGAAGAAGGCGTAGATCTTGTCGTCGAGCCACTTGACGTCGTCCTTGGAGTCGCCCGGTCCTCCTGCCCAGTGGCCCCAAATCGTGGGGATGACTTCAAGCGCGGCGGTGTCACCCATGATGCGAGCCTCCTCTTCCGAATCCTCGGGCGGGAAGTACAAGTCGGTCTTTGCTGGCACGATCATTGTCGGGCACTGAATTGCCTTCAAAGCCCTGTGGAATGCCTGATCATCATCGTCTGTCACTGCTCCACCATCTCCGCGCGTGCCCAGACGACCGCCCTTGCTCTGTGGTACATCGCGTTTGCTTGCACCCGCATACCTCGGCTGTGCGCCGATATCTCCGTGCTGCCATGTATGGATCATGTAGAGCAGATTGTTGGCGTCTTTGGACGTGGCCCACGCGTGCCAAAAGTTGGAGAGCACATTGGAGGCTCCATCGAGCCCAAAGTGCTTTTTGAACATGCCCTCGCGATAGAAAGCCTGGCTGAACCCCCACCCGGCATAGATGGTTCCGAAAGCCTTGAGACCTTCAACAGGCGGTTCATCGGGGCTGTATTCGCCACCGTTGAACTTGGCGTCGAGACGGAGAGTCTGTTTGAGCGACTCGAGAAAGACCCAGTTGTGGATGGCGGTGCGTGCCGAGCCACAGAAGGGCACAGCTGCACGCACCGAGTCGGGGAACTGCGACGCCCATTGGAACGTCTGTCCTGCTCCCATGGACCAGCCAATCACCACCACCTTGCCCTGCACACCGAGGTGCTCGTACACCAGCTTGTGCTGCGCACGTACATTGTCGTAGAACGTCGCACGTGGCAGCGCCGCTCCGAGAGGATGGTTCGAGGGAGAACTAGACTCGCCGTTGCCAAAGAGTGCCGGGACAATGATGAAGAAGCGGGACGGATCGAGCGAGCGTGTCACGGGCTGTGAGCCGGGAAGGGCGATCAGCCACTCGTTGCCGTCGGTAATGGTGCCCGAGTACCAGGTCGGATAGACGATCGCTGGCTTGCTCGCATCGCCGTAGGTGCGATAAGCGATGTGGGCGTTTGGGATCACTTCTCCCGATAGCAGCTCGAAGTCACCCAAGCCGAAAAGCTTGACGTTGGGATCCTTGGGCGTGTATCCGACGCTGTCTGACATGTTGAGCGGCTGATGGTTCGTGCTGCCTCAATCTGGACGAGGGATGAGAGGAAGTCGAGATGGAGGCTGCGATGGAAAATGCATTGCCGCTGAACTACGGCCTCGTCTTGAGCCGACTCGTTCAAAGCCAAATGGCTGCAGCCGCATAGCATAAGCCCGCCCGGAGCGAAGCGAGGAGAGCCGCCTGCCTGTCACATGTCCAGTAGCCCGAGCGGCGGTAGGGAGGCAAGGTCGGGCCGTGCGCGAAGCAAGATGCCCCGCTACTAAATCGGCGTCTCTTGTGGAGGGACACCACCAAAAAAATCATCGCCGATCTGAAGTGCCGGACATGGACTTTGATCGGGACTGGCTCTCTGCGTTGATGGCCGCCGCCACACATTGACGGAACAGGCATGTTGCTTGCCGTGTTAGTTCCGATGCGCATTGATGCAGCGCAGATCATGCGCGGCGTTCACGCTTGGCACGGCCTGTGCTTGGCTGGGCGTCGTTGTCAATGTCACGCCGACGGAGACGAAAGAGGAGCGTGGTGCCAAGGAGCTCTCGATGCATGAAGCCGGCTGGGCTCCGACTTACGGTGCGTCAACATTGCGGCGATCAAGACATTGTCACATGACGCCACCTGCGAGCCGTACGCCGGCATCACCGGGGCGGAAGGGGATGCGGACGGACGAGCCCATTCGGCTTGCATGCATGGATCGAGCCACGGCGACTAACTTCGTGAAGTGCGTGTTGACCTCTCCGAGGTCACTCGTGGGCGCCATTGTCTTGGCTGCATGAAGTACAGCGTTTGGTCTAGCGAGCTGTCCGGCGCCCGAGAGGGGCATGACACGGCGATTCAAGCGACGAGGAGACTCTTGTTCCTTGGAAAGGGACTCGACACGAATTTTTTAAGGACAGCAATGCGACGAGATCTGACACGCTGATCAACAACAAAAGACCAAGCCAGGCGAGATCTTGGCAAAGCCCTCGTGCTAGGCTTACCCACAACAGCAGCAAGTGGTCGGCAGCATGGACTGCATGACGGTGCCGGGCCAAGTGAGCGGGCGAAGAAAGAAGCTGCGAAAATGTTCTTCTGCACTCGAGGCGCGTGCCGCAACGCGTGATGAGGTTGGTTTCAGCCGGCTGCAAAAAATTGTGGCTCTGGAGCAGCAGCACACGGGCAGCCGAGCTGCATGCCTCGCTGGCAATCCACCGAGCCTAGCCGAAACCGAAGAAAAAAAAAACACGCATGAAGCTAGCCACCTGGGCCCTAAATTGAGCCCTTTTTCCTTTTGCTTCTGCTGCGCTGGCGGTCTTGCTCTCGACGCGTCTCGCACGCGACAAAGTGTCACTCTGGCCCGAGCGACCGAGCTTGTCAGAAGTGGCTACAAAGGGGCTGGGCAATCAGCATTGCGAGAGGAGTGACCAATGTCATGCCGCAAAGTGAATGCCGTGGGTGCAGAGCGGCGCAAAAGAGGTGCAGAAGAATCCAAGTGAGGAGCCTCACACGAGGATGAGTTAGCGTCCGTTCCGAGCGTCGCGCTGCAGCAATCTGCAGCAATCTGCAGCCAACCTGCAAGACAATGGGGGCGCGTTCTGTTGCCCGAGCGAGCGGCTCGATCTTGGCCGCGGTGTGACGAGCGCGAGGCACGCTCGGTTCCTGACGCTGCCGTGAGCATTGGTGCCAAAGCTGTCGGAGGCCCAATCGCCATGTCACCGTCGGCCGCGCCGGGAGGCTCGTGTCGACTCGGCGTGCCCTGCCCATTCATGCAGCTGCCTCGCCTGCTTCGGCGCAAAGTTGTTCAAACGACGGCAGCCTTTCCTCTGCGTGAGAGCGACACTGAGACTGCAACCTCCTCAACAGCTGCCAGCTCTCCTCTGCACCGCCCATAGTGGCTTTACTTCCGCTCCGCTCCTCTTCACCTTTCCACATCCACTCCCACCTACCACTCCTCCATAGACCCCTTTCGTTTGACCGCAGGCTTCGGAAAACGCATCCACTCTCGTTTCTTTCTTGCCTTCCCTCCATACCCAATCTCGATACTCTCGTTGCTCCTTCAAAATGGTCGCTACCAAGGTCGCAACTCTGGCCGTGCTCGTGCTCGCCGCTGCCGATGCCGCCGTCTCCACCATCGTCATCACCAAGCCCGTCGCGTGAGTCTGAAGCTCTTGATACAGTGCATAGACGCCCACGCCTGTATACTGACCATAACACTGCTTTCTCTTCGGACAGCTCCACCACTGGTCACGGCGGCAAGCGCCTAAGCGTCGAGTGGAACGACGACGGCAAGTCGCCCTCGCGCCGTGACTGGGGCCGCGTCAACATTTACCTCGCCACCGGCTCGCGTGACGTGCAGTACAAGCTGCAGACGCTCGACACCAACGTCTCGTACGACCAGGGCCAGGCCAGATACTCGATCGACGCCAACGCCGGCCCCAACGGCGGCTACTACTTCCTCCGCTTCGAGGGCACCAACACCAGCGCTGCCGGCGGCATCCCGCCCATGGCCTTCTCCGCCCGCTTCACCCTCGACCAGATGTCCGGCAACTTCAACTCCACCATCATGTCGCAGGTCTCGGGCGTCTCCGGTACCGGTCAGCTCACCGCTGCCGCTGCCACCGCCTCGGCCACCGCATCATCGGCCCCCTCGTTCTTCTCCTTCACCTCCACCAAGAGCGCCGCTGCCACCTCCTCCACAGCCTCCGCCGCTTCCGCACAGGCAACCAGCATCAAGTCGTCCTCGGCTGCTGCACCCAACGCGAACAACAAGCTCGCCGGCTTCGCCAGCGCGCTTGTCGGCCTTGCTGCTGTCGGTGCCGCTTTCCTCTAGACGTCCTCTCCTCTTCCGTACGCCCGGCCCCGAGTCGCTCTGGTAGCGCCTCGCAAGCTGGGTTCCGCATGCCCGCTGCATCTCGTCGCCTTCGCATTCCACGGCTCTACAGTGCGTCTCTTCCATCCGCCCCTTCGTCCTTCGTATGAAGGTGCGCTCGATCTCCCTCACTGCTGGGAAAAGGCTGCTCCTTCTTGCACACTCTTTGTCTACCATCTTTGCCTGTCTGTACATAATGCTTTTGGAAGACATCACACTCGTTTGCAGCTCGCTTCATTCTCCGTGTCTCTGTGATAGTAAGACGTAATTAAATCAGGCGAAGCGATACAGGCATGTCGAACGGCCGATTAGGGCTAAGGGCTAACTAGAGCTTTGCGACGCGCGACATTTTCTTGACCTCGTTCATGAGCACGGTCTGCATACGGAGGCCGAGCATGATGTTGCCCTTGACCTTGACCTTGCCCTTCATGAAGGCGGCCTGCGGGCTCATCTGGCCGAGCGCGATGCGGATCATGTCGCGGTCGTTGATGGTGAGGATGCAATCCGGTTTGGGTTTGGCAGGACCGGGACCGCGGATGATGGTGCCTTCGCGACGCATGTCTACATAGAACTGGATCACCTCGTTGCCCGCGCCCGACTCTGGAGCGGGTCGCACGTTGAACAGGAACGTGCCGTGGACAGCCTTCTTGGCCTGCTGCATGTTCATCATGTCCAGTCCGGCCGTGATGCCCTCCTCGTCCTCCGAGTGCAGGAGGGCCCAGTACACCACGCAGAACAACTTCGACACTTCCACTCCGGCAACTTTCAGCTCCGTAGGGTCCACCTGTTGATCGCGCGGCTTGGACGGATCCGAAAAGTCAATGTCATCGGCCTGCTCTAGCATGATGTTGAACAGGTTCGACTCGTCGACGCCCTCATCCTTGCCCATGATGTCGAATGCTGCGATAGGTGCTTGACTGTTGTGGTTGAGGATGGAGGATGCGTCGGGATTCGTGGATGGCTGCGCGGTGCTGTGCCGCCGGATGTGCCTTAGGTGAAAGCGATCTAGTTCGACGAGAGGTGGTGCGGTTTATATGCTTGACTGCTCAGGGTGACGTTGTTGTCCCGTGTCGAGTAATTCAGCAGCGTCCACTGAGGAGAAGGCAGCGACTTTCACGTTTGGACGTCGCAAAGGGTCTATGAAGAGAATGGAGTGTGGAGGCAAGCCGCAGCAGACTCTACAACTCGAGCATGTGTGGGGTAATACAAGCTGCGAGGCTGCCGAACACGCGAGGTAGAAACAAGCGCCGCTCGCTCGCCAAGTGGGCCTCAACGGATCTCACTCGGCAATTGTGAAAGTGCATGTGTACACGCCATCAGTCCCATCGGAACGGTCGACACCGAGCCATGCTGGGAGCCTTGAACACCTGTGGGGTAAACCCCGACCTTTGACACGAGATGGGCGCAGTCTCGGCAGATGTTTCGGATGCTGGGCATGGTGGAGGGGCCTGCCCAAAAAAAAAAGTGTCTGTGCTCGGTCCGTGACTGCGGAATGTGGGGAAGCATCTGGCCTTCAACACCATAGCGAGCACCACCTCCCGATTGCCGCCACCAAACCACGAGTGTGTGTCGCAGCCTTCGCTTCCGAAGTCCTTTTTCACGACTCCCTGCATCGGCGTCCTCGGCGCCCTCGCCGGGAAATTCGAAAATGTTAGACCGTAGCGCAAAGGTGGAGGGTGGGATCCGCACGAGAAAATTGGCGCCGTGCGAAGAATGCCGCCCAGCCTAAAAATTTGAGGTCGGTGCGCTAAACCCTCCGAAACTCCACTTCGAGAAGAAGCAGCCCGACCTCTGCGTGCTTGCGGGTCGGAGGCTGCCACAAGCGCATCTTGACTCCATACCTGCACCTCCAGAACATAACGACTTTCCGAGTCCCCATCGGCAGGTACAACATTAACAAGATGGCGGCAGCAAACAGCGTCGCCTCGGCGTTCTCGCCCAACCTCCTGGACGACACCACGGTCAAGCAGTACAACCAAGACTATGAGGCTAGCGCTCCATACAAGCACGCCGTCGTCCCCGCGCTGATTGACGAGGAGCTGCTCAAGGCCACCCGACAAGAGATCATCGGCGAGCTGCGCTTTGCCGAGAAGGAGACCGACATCTACAAGGTCAACCAGACCGGCGACCTCGCCAACCTCGATGGTCTGCCAGAAGAAGAAGCAGGTCGCCTGCAGTCACTGCTGCGCGTCCGCAACGCCATCTACTCGGCTGAGTTCAGGTCGTGGCTCCAGGGCGTCACCGGCTGCGGTCCGCTCAGTGCCAAGAAGAAAGACATGAGCATCAACGACTACCGCCAGGGCTGCCACCTTCTCAACCACGACGACGTCATCTCCACTCGCCGTGTTTCCTACATCCTCTATCTCCCAGACCCCGACCAGCCATGGCAGCCAGAGTGGGGAGGCGCCCTCGAGCTCTACCCGGTCAAGACCAAGGGTACCCCCGACGACGTCCCCAGCAAGATCATCCCGCCCCGCTGGAACCAGTTCACTTTCTTCACCGTCCAGCCCGGCCACTCGTTCCACTCGGTCGAGGAGGTGGTACACCCGTCGCAGTCCCGACTCAGCATCTCCGGGTGGTTCCACCGTCCGCAGGAGGGCGAAGAGGGCTTCACCACCGAAGACGAGAAGAAGGAGGCCGAGGTGGAAAAGGAGATGAGCAGCCTCGAGAGCCTGTCTGCCAAGGAGAGCGCAAAGCGCTTCGAGGAGTACCCAGAGTCCTTTGCGCCACCACTGCCAGGGTCGCCGCTGTCGCAGGCCGAGAAGAAGTTCCTGATCCAGTTCCTCAATCCTGCGTATCTCGTTGACAAGACGCAGGAACAGCTGTTCGAGCAGTTCGGCGACGATTCGCACGTCTTGTTGTCGGACATCCTTCGCAAAGAGATCGCACAGCCGATCGAGAAGGCGCTGCGCTCGGCGGACGCACGCGATGGATTCCAGTGGTGGACTTCGGGCAAGGGCGAGGAGTCGACACGCATCCAGCCGCACGGTGTCGGCACCGACCGCGCTGCTGAGGCTGATGCAGAGGCCAAGCGATGGTCCATCGCCGGTCCTCCCCACAAGCAGCGCTATGCCGTCCTCGCAGACCAGGCAACTCCTGCGAAGGCATCTGAGATCGCATCACAGCAGGCGCAGGTGCCCAACCCGCTGCCCACGGATGCGAGCGAGCTGCTGCGCCTGCTCAGCACCGTGCTCTTCCCCTCGGACGCCTTCCGCCACTTCCTCGCCAACATCTCGCAGCTCGTCCCGCTCGGTGCTCGACCCGTCGAGGCACGTCGATTCCGCCCGGGTCTCGACTACACTCTCGCACGCAGCGACCCCGAAGCGGTGCTCGACGTGACGCTCAACCTTACACCGGACGTCGTCAAGCCGTCGCTCGACGAAGAGCGCAAGGCTGGCCCTCGCGGTCTGGCGGGCAAAGCCAAGAAGCCCAAGACCGCGCCTGCGTCAGCGGCAGCGAACGGTCTGCTGTCCAAGAAGGAGGCCAAGGATCTCCAGGCGAGGTGGGAGAGCGGCGACATTGGCGGCTGGGAGTGCTACATGGCACCGCACGAGGGCGAGGAGGACCCCGCAGTGTACCAGAGCGGCAACAGTGGCAAGAAGAAGGAAGCTGACAATGATGAGGAGATGAAGGACGCGGGCGAGGACGAGGAGGAGGAGATCGTCGAGATGATCGAGGACGACGGCGAGGACGACGAAGACTTTGACGGCGTGCTGCTCAACCTCACACCGAGCTTCAACACGCTCAGCGTGGTGCTGCGGGACGAAGGCGTGATGCGCTTCGTCAAGTACCTCGCTGCGTCTGCGGGCGGATCGCGCTGGGACGTCATTGGCGAGTTCGAAATCGGCGCCATCGAGGAGGAGGACGAGGAAGAGGAAGAGGTTGCGGAGGCGTAAGTGCGAACATGATCGTTGCCAACTTCTTCACTTGTGTGGTCGCATAATACATTTGCAGTTGTTCATACCCGTTCTAGGTCCATCTGAGCCTGTGTGTGTGTGTGTGTCGGTATCAGTGCTGCGTGGCGAGGTGGGCGGAAATGCAGTCTCGTCCGAGTCGAGCGGCGTCACGCGGCGCGTAAAGTGCGCGAAGAAAGCCTCGGCGTGCGTTGGAAGCCAAAAAGTGTTGGTTTCCCGCACGCGCAGCGCTCTGTCACTTTGGCTCAACCTTGACTCCCATCGTTCACCGTCTCTCGTTCATACACTCTGCGACCCCGGCCAGCCATGTGGTGAGTTGGCAACACTCCGTATCCAACCCATCGCGCATCAGACTGATCTTGATAACTTGAGTGGAATGCGGCCCTTACAGCAAGCACATCCTCAACGCACAGGTGTCGATCCGGGCACCTTGCTGCCAGAAGTTCTTCGACGTGAGTGGCCTCCGTCTTTCGGCGACATAGCCGAATCACTCCCAGAAACTGACTCCGAAGATTGCCGCGACAGTGCCCGGAATGCCACGCCGAATCGCAAGACCACGGGCTGCGCAAGACGGTCGAGATGGCGTTTATCTGCAAAAAGTGCCGCAAAGCCTTCCGCAAGGATCTCACGCAGTACGAAGAGTCGGACGAGTTCTGCCCACACTGCGACAACCATTACGTCAGTACCCCCAGTCCAAGCTCTTGCTGCTGCGAAACCGTTACTGACGACAAACATCGTTGGATTGGGGATGACAGGTGATTGAGGCCAAGACGCCGCAAGCGGTGCTGCAGGTTGAGGGTGAAGATGCACGAGTGGACAACCGAATGTTGCGCGACGACCGCATCAAGTACGACCCGCGCAAGGACTTCTACTACCGCCGCGTCGCAGCGCAAGAGACGGAGCGCATCGACGAAGGCGGCTGGCTTCAGGCGATCAAAGACCGTGCTGCGGGAAAGCTCGGTCCTGACGGTCTTCCAATCGATGCGGCAGGGCCCGTGGGTGCAGATGGCAAACCGCTGCTGGATACGTCGGCACTTGCGGGTCCAGGAGCCAAGCCACAGTGGAACAAGTTCAACGACGATGATCTCGACTGGTCCTAGACTCGACCGCCGCATAGCTCCAAGCCTACACTGTATTTGTACGGAAACACACCAAGCAGCACACATTTAACCTCAGATTATCGATGTTGCGGATGGAACGCCGAGGATATTGCAAGCTCGGAATATCAAGGGTATCAGCTTGCCTGCAGCCTAGGCACAAAACAGAGGCAGTGGGGAAGGATTAGATGTCGTGGGGGATATCGAAGAACTCTTCTGCGAGTTTGGCGAGGTCCTGTGCGAGCTGCTTGCGCTTCGGGTCCGCATCGGCAGCATACTGCGGTGCCAGAGCCTTCATGTACTCGACGATGGCGGTGTAGGTTTGTTTGGGCATGTCTCTTGGATCGCGCACATACAGGTCGATGCCTGCAGGCGTCGCCGGCGTCTTTTCAAAGTACGTCACGACCCAGTCGAACTTTGTGCGCGAGGTGTCGGTGAGGTCGTAAGGTCCGTATCCAATCACCTGCCACTTGGAGTGGAAGAACTTGAGCAGCCCATTGCCCGTCCACTGGAAGCTGGCTCCATTCTTGGCGTCTTTCTGCAGCACATTGGTGCCCTTGATGCCAAACAGCTTGTTCGTCAGTCCTTCCTCCGCTTTCCACTTGGCTTCGAGCTCGGTGGCTGCTACAGGCGTCGAGGCGGACTTCGAGCGCGCCTCTGAGCGGATCTCGTCGGTGAACTTGACGTCGCTCGCGCCAGAGGTGGCGGCAGAAGGGATGTAGCGGATGACGACGTTCTTCTTGGGCTTCCAAAGCGGCAGCGAAGATCCGACAATGTACCAGAAACCTTCGATGGCGCGAGAGGGTTGCGAGTCAAAGTGCAACGGGTGCGAGGCCGCGTAGCTCGTAAACGGCAGATCGATGTCAAAGGCGCTCGAAGCAGCTGCACTGGGCGTCGTCTCGGTCATGTTGGACAGTTGGGAGGGGATAGTGGAGGCGAGAAGAGGCAAGGATCGGTGGAGGCGAAGGTGTTGGTTCCCATCCGTGCTGGGTCTTCTACGCATGCAGGAGTCGCCGGGCTTTGGTTGAAAGCCGGCCTCGCGGTGTGGTGTCGCACCTGGTAGAAATGTGGTGTGATTCCCAGCACATCACCGCAGATCAGGGGTCCAGCTTGTTTTTGATTTTATATTTTTATTTCTCCTCGGATTGTGACGCAGTGCATCCCCCGAGCCACACTTCGCTTGTGTTCAGAGGCATCGTCAGTCGCGATCACAGAAAGGCAGCCGTAGATGGACAGTCTGACCACCACGACAGGCAGCTGTGCCATCGAATCGAGCTTGTACCACGTCGACAGCACTAGAGGCTTGGTACTTCAGGCTGGCCCAGACCGCCGATACAAGGAGAGTTCCCAAGCAGCCGGCACACGAGCATGACACGGGACGTGGCTAGGTCAAAAGGAGGACCTGAGTCTAGCGACTGTGTTGGCTCCTAGTTCTGCAGCACGCAGCTGCGTCGTCGCTAGCATGGTGGCGCGAGCATACCAACTAGAGACGGCACAGATCAGGACCACGTACGACCAACATGCTGTTGGGCGATCGAGTCAGTCTCGACCCGCTTGCCCACCACACCCGAGCCCCGCATGCACCGCGAAGCGAAACATTCTGTAGTATCTCGACAGTAGCAAGCGGTCAAACCCTTCATACCAGTAGTCAAAGCCCCTCTCTCTCGGAGGTGTGTGTGCTCGATCTGGTAAATGTCAACCGAAAGTGACATTTCTGCGGGAGAAGCAAGTGCAGGGAATCCCACATGTCGTGCCGGCGAGCAGAGGCAGTGCCGGAAGGAGGATAGAGGAGGATAATTTGACCTTGCGCTGCCACCGGAGTTAAAACGACGGAGGATGGCACACAATGCGCATGCTCGTCATCTTAAGTGCTTCCGCCCTGGCAGTTGAGGGATCGCCAGAAGTGGTCCCACGTGCATTTGTTGGTGTCCAGGCTGTATGCGATGTTTTCAGGTCCGCCATCGTCATGAGCGTTGAAGATTGCCGGGTCATCCATCCAAAAGCATTCGACGTCCACCTCCTCCTCGCCGCACTTGACTGAGCTAAGGTGGCCGAAAGTGTTGGCGTTCTGGTTGAGAAGGTCATAGCCACCGTGGTAGCAGACGACAGCATCAGCTTGCGAAGCGCGAGCACGAGCCTGATCGAGGCTGCTGCTGATGCACTGCGCGCGAGTCGGGCCGTGCTGAACAACAGCGGCCGCAGAAGCCGCGCCCATCAGGGCAAAGGCGGTAGTAAGCTTGAGCACGAGCATGATTGGAGGGTAGGAGAAGGAAGCCGAAGGTGTGGAGGATGAGGAAAGCATGAAGATGTGGGGAAGGAGGTGGTCCAGTATTTGTACCAAGTGCTGCTCGTTCCTCAGGAATCCCTTCCCGTGCGACGTCGAAGCGGTCCCACCGGCTGTGCAACGCTTCCTTTGTCGTATCTGCTGCGCTCCTGTGGCGGCGGTCCGGGACGCCAATGAGGTGGGATCTAGCTTGGTGGGGGAAAAAAGCCCACATGGATCTGGTTGTAGGGCGAACCCCCATGGCGTGCATCAATCGGGTGGCGACCTGTGGGAGCTGTGATTAGATCGTCTAATTCGGTATTTCCCGCCGGCGTGGCGCCTAATCTGGAGATATTGGATGTCGTGGAGGCAGAGGAGGCGTCAAGAGGCACCGCTGCGAGGTCCAATGGGGAGGCAGAAGTGTGCGTAGTATGTTCAAAACTCGGCATTTCGACGCAGGTCATCGACTAGGAAGCCCCCGAACAGTTTCCCGCGCTTCTGCTACAGAGCCCCGTTTGATCCGCAGGTGGCAGATGTCAAGGCATCATCAGTCGCAACTAGGCTGAAGGAGCTCAGAAAGAATGATGAGATCGACACAGATTGTCCGCATGGTAAGCGTGCTGTGCGATGCGGCGCGTGCACGAAGCCGCGCATGACGCGTGGCGACGAAGACATCCATGCTGTTTTCGCAGCAGCAAACGACGGCTCACTTTCCTCGGTACAATCAGCGCCGCTTATTCTGAGCTTCAAGATGTTCACTAAGGCGGTCATCAGTCGGAGATGCGAGACAATCGAGATTCGGCGAACAGGAAATAATATTGAAGAACATATGATGTGCCAAAC